AAACAATTTCATCAAAAAATTCTACCGGGAACCTCCCCAAATGACGAAGTCCGGACAAAACTTCCTATATAAAGCCTTATTTGCACTTTTTTTTGGTTAGTTTAAGGATTTATTTGCCCCTTTTCTCAAATAAAAATTCAAGATCCGCCATCATCGGTATGAGACTACTAGGTAGGGGAGAGTTAAGAGTAGAAATACTATGGACCATTCTTGGTGTACACAAGATGTACACAAAATGTGTACATTGTCTGTGTACACAGACAATTTGACATCAACTCCTGCCCCAGTTTTAACGAATTGCCTGTGTACACAGGCAACTAGGGGGGTTTTGTGTACAACTTGTGTACAACTAATGTACACTAAGCATTTTCCAAATACTATAGCAGTGAAAATGCAGTTAGGAATTGAATGGAGAGAAATTAAACTGAAAAGGATGGGTCATATATGTTGGCCTGGCGTGCTGGGTGTGAAAATGTGAAATAACAGTGCAGGCCAGGGAGAATTGAGGGAACTCCTTTTTCTTCCCCAGAATTCTCTGAACATTCATATGCACAAGTAATGATTATACCTCATGCTACTTGTTGACATTTAGGAGAAGCTACGTCCACCTTTTGACTTTTATAACTACCAAGTAAGAGTCCACGTTACGTGCCGATCAAATTGTGTGTACAAACAGTTGACCGGCGTTTTATGAAAAAAATCGATTTTTATACAGATAAAAATAAAAAATGTCTGTGTCATAGACATTTTAGACGCGAATTTTTCATAAAATGTTTGTGATACAGATAATTTTAAATGAGAATTTTAATATTTCTGTGATACAGACAAATTTTTTATTTTTGTCTGTGTGAAAATCGATTTTCTTCATAGAACGGCAGTCAAATTGTCTGTGACACTCTATTTTGAATCTGGAACATTTCTTTTTAAATTTTTTTGACCGGCGTGTAACCGGACATGTAAAAGGTGGCATGTACAAAGGAATTTTTCCATTTGGTAATCTAGTTGTGAATTGATTTTCTCCTTTAGTTCTCAGCACCAATCGGAGCATCGGACAATTACTCCAAAAGATGTAAATTAGATTTTAAACATAAACTGACATATAGAGAATGAGTCTTTGGCACAAATACTTATAAAAATGTTGGGTGTACACTTTTGTGTGTAAGCAATCACACACTTTGTCCGTATATACAGACTTTGTTTGTATACATGCAACTTTGACTGTATAGACAGAAAAAGTATGCAAAATGATACACACGAAAAGATGTAAACTAAGCTTTTGCCATAATTTTATATACTTCTTCGATTCCAAAATTACATTCTTTCTTTCTACTTTAATATCTCCCTAAATGATTTTCAGTTTCATTTAATGTCAAAGAATCTTTGATTTATATCATTTCTTCAGCCTCTACACAATTCTCAATCTTATACTACGTACTTTTCAATCTCTTAATATACGTACAAAATATATTTTGAAGCTAAGATTAATATGGGACATATATAGTAACGTTGAATTGGCCAAAATGTACAAAATGGTACACAATTCTCAAAATGTGTAGTCTCATGTTGAATTGGATGAACTTACTAAAGAGTATTGTTTTTTCACATTTCTTAAAATGTTTGTCTTTTATTTTATTAATTAAATTATTTTAGATAGTACCTCATCCCTAATTAAAATTCCTAGTTTGAATAACACACATTTTTTAAGGATTTTTGTAAATATCCTTCTCAAGTTTATATAATATTTTGTTCAAAATAATGTCAACATTACTGATTGTGATGAGATCCAAGCTTATGCTTTTCTCATTGGCACCAATAATGACATCATTAAACCATGAAGTACTTGACTTTGTATATCATGCATATGATAGCGTTCAAATAATGAAAAATTATCTTTTTTCAAATATAAAAAACCCACTTTTATATTCCAATGAGTATTATATTGAAAGAAATACAATATAAATGAGAGAAATAAAGTTTATAATTCTAATAAACTGAGCATTCTATAGTTACGAGATTATTACAAGTTAAAGAAAATTACATACATACTCGAATGTAAAGCAGATCTAAAGGTATAATAATAAATTGTCGGGTTTCAAATGCTTGATTGATGGATCTAGAGGTAACACCATTAGTTAAATAAATGTGATTGTCACCAAAAAATAAAACATAAAATGCAAAATATACGGAGTATAGCATATACTACGTATTGAAAACATTGCATTGTATCAATTACAAAATATATGTTCCATTTTGTTAGAAGTGAAATTAAGTGACTTTAGGTAACTAGCCCGAACTCCCCTTCGGCCTAAAGGAGTGGGGGACTAGCATACACCCCTCGGGGATCATACACAACAAAAATTTCTTGGAAACAAACAATTTACAATTGACGCGTGCAGCCTCCGGACAAACATCAAAGTGGAACCCCTTCGGCAGAGGCAGGATATCACCAGTTTTCTACAAGTCACTTGCGGAAATAAAGCAGCCCTCACCACAACACACGCAGGCGATACACCTATGCTTTCCCCAGAAAACCCTCGACATGTGAGGGACTGAGGAAAGCCTTCTGCAGTCATACAGGTGTTATACTTCCCTCAGAAAACCCTCGACATGTGAGGGACTGAGGGAAGCCTTCGGCAATCAGCAGTAGACAAAGTTCTCCAGCAAAGGCACCCAGCGAAATGATGAAGCCCCCCAGAAGAATCAACGCATCTACTCCTTTTCCCTCAAGTACCTTTCGGCAAAAGGAGTGAGGGACTCCTGATGGAGTATATGGCCCAGGAACCCCCGGCCCATAGACTCCTGCTTCTCCTACACAAGTCCATTGAGCCCAGAAAACAACTCAGGCCCAAATACAACGGCCCAAGCCTCAAAGTAACCCAGAATACACACTGGGGTGCCTTCGGCCTCCTTGGCCGAAGGCTCCAAAACTCACAGGATAGCCTTCTCTGGCATAAGAAGCTGCTGGGAGAAGACGGGCGAAAACAAGGAGCCCTCGGCTACAAGGAGCCCTCGGCTACACACGGAGCCCTCGGCTACACCGGGAGCCTTCGGCTGAACTAGCTCAATCATCGAAGATTCCTTTTAGAGACAGCCAACCACCGCATTTAATGCCACGTCGCATCCGCCAACCGCATTCAATGCGGTTGACGTACCACTGCCGGTGCCACCAGGCTGATGTGACCCTTCGGCCGTTGGATTACTGACACGTGTCCTCTCATCGCATTTATTGCTGCTATAAATAGCAGCCCATTTCTCCTTGTAATGGACACGATCTACATCTCAACTCCACATCTCGAGTTCATTTAATAAAATCGACTCTCTCTCCTCCTATTTCGCTCTGACTTCTCTCTAGTTATTCCCACAATAACCCCTCGGATAGGATACCCCCCGGGTAGACTGTCCATCAAATAAGTATCCTAAATCTTAAATAACGAGTTACTCTATTGTTTATTTGTTTAAGTTATGTAAATTATTTTAGATGTTTCTTCTTTTAAATCTCCAATTAAGTATTACATTATGTAAGACTATATATATTATTTTTGAAAATTAAAAGCTAAGGGGGGCGAATCTAATTAAATTATGAAAGTTTTATGAAAATATTACATATATGGTAAAAAAAATTGAATGTCCAAGGGGGGCGGTCGCCCCCCCGCGCCCCCCCCCTAAATCCATCCCTGCTCATTAAGCTTTTTATTCAAAGGATTTATCCAGTGCTAAGCTTTTAACATTAATAAAATTGTGGCAACACTGAATGTACAAATGTTATACAACATAAGATGCATGTGAAAACCTGAAAAATTAAATTTTCCAGCTAAAAGACTACCATTAAACGAAAATAATTCTGGACATTTTTTTAATACAACTAAGAACTTTTGTCATGATTATGGAGTACGAAAAAATGACGACATGAATAAGAATGAGTTTTGATATAGCAAAACAAAATTGCATATACTTTTTGCATATATAAATTTACTCTATGTAAAACTTGCATATAAAACTCCAGTAAAAGTCTATTTAACAAGTACGACATGTCTATTTAATGACAAGAAAATACCTCTCCATTCGGGAAAAAGTTAAGAAAGAAGATATACGTAGTATAAGACTTTGGGCACCTTGGTTGGATCAGTGGTCCACATGACCTAAACAAGGTCTTGGTCATTGTTGGGCTGACCGGGAAGAGGTAGATTCCTCCATTTCTAATGAACTCTCCCCGGTTAAATGAGAAAGGTAAAGTTTCCAAAATAAGAATAAACATATGGTAATCTTCTTAAGTATGAGCATTAGTAGAGTATAATCACTTTGAAATCATACTATGACATTATGATTTCAGGATAACTATAGCGGAAAACATAGTACTTTTATCTAGAAAAACCATCTCTTGTGCTAAAGACAATTTCTAAATGAGAAAATGTCTTTTTTCGAAACAAGATTAATATAAAAATATAAAATGATACTCCTAATCAGTGTTTTAAATAGTGGTCCGCTACCGCTATAGCAGCCACTATATAGCGGGCACGGCACGTACCGTTACGGGCCGCTATCAGGGTGTGATTTTTAAATCACAGAAAAATCTCGCTACACCGCCCGCTACAGCCCGCTATCGGCAGTTCCGACAACGAACTGGTTGATGTGTAAATATGTAAATAATGTGTGCATGATATCACGAACTGGTTGATGTGTAAATATGTAAATAATGTGTGCATGATGTGAAAAAATAAATTAATGGTGATGCATGTAGTGAGACTCTAAATTAAATGTACATGTATCCACATACATTATGGTAGCAAATATTAATAAATATCTAAATTTTAATTATTAAAACTGAATTAATTATTAATAAGGATGATTTAACTTTAATATCGGTTGACGAAAAAAATATATGTTTTGCGCATTTGAAAATATTTCACGCCGCTGCAACCGCTACAGGCCGCTACAGGCCGCTACCGCTGCCGCTACCGTTACGGTTATTTAAAACACTGCTCCTAATATAAGATGCGGTGGTTCCATCAAACATACAACACACATGCTCCATCAGTACATGTCACATATCAATTAACGATTCAAATCACACATGTATGTATTTATAGTTTACACAATTGTATCGCAAGTCCATGATCTTCATAATGAAAAAAAGTCTTAGAAATGAAGTACACTCAGTGACCAATTTTTTGAGCTGTAAGGCCAGAGGGAGAGCACTATCTATCTTCTTCTGCCATTACCTTTCAGCCCACAAACACAATTTTGCAGGAGTTGATAATCTTCATCCCAGACCAACAAGGATGCCATGTCTGGATTCCTCAAAAGCATCTTTGAGGTCAAGTAGCCAGCAATTGTCCACGTCTGATGCAACCATTCTTGTTTGCCAATGAATGTTCCATGCCTTGCATCATAATATTCAAGCCAGTTATCCACCTTTAGCCTCTCTTCAGCCACACCTACTGCTCTCCTTGCAACTTCTGGTTTTCCCATCTTAATGCAAGCTAGGGTCAACTGTAACACAAGCATATGTAATATACATCACCCACATTATTTAATTAATACTACCATGGATAAATCTAGATTAGGCCCAGCCCGGGCTCGAACACAGGCCCACCAACTTTGACACTACTACTATACAAGAAAACAATTTACTGTATTTACAATAATAACCAAGTCACATTTAATAATCAACCTACTTACCTACTCCATGTCCAGTCTATAGTCTCTTCATAGTTATGTTTTTAAAGATTATATAAACTCATTACAATATTACACTACATAAAAATCTCCAACTAAGAATGTATATTACTATTTGTTAGACCTCTACGGTAAAAGCAATTGCTTTTAGTAAACGCAACTCTTTATTCGTTAAAGTGGACTGCTCCGCGGCCTAATAATCACCTTAACATGCTTTCCATGGGTTTTGAACCCCTGATACCATTTGTTAGACCTCAAAGTCGTTTACTGCTACCCAGAAGTAATTTCTTTTCATGAAAGCATGACTCTAATTCCTTAAAGTAAAGCAGCTAGCACCATGCATGGAATACTGGCGACCCAACAATATTGGTTTAAAAGTTACAAATGTATTAAAGACATGACTCTTTTGGGACGAAGGTTGAATCATACGTAGTATATTTTTGTTTAACAATGCATCGATTTGGGATGAAAATATAGAAGAGCCGTAGTTTCATAGTTTAGAAAATACCTGCCAAAGAAGGGTTGGCCAAGACCCCCCATTGTGATATGACCATGGGCTGCAAATGAAAAAAGCTTAACATAAGTAAGCATACTCACATTATCTAATCTTCTATACACAAAAAAAGTCTCACGTATTCTTAGGGTCACTTCCAGTTATTATTCGCCAATCTTCACCATCTAAAGCTGGATAACATATCTTTAGAGGCATTTGTGCAACGAGATCATCCCATTTCTCTACGATAAAATTCAAAATAGATTCATTCTGCTCGGGGGCGCCCAATGACGAAATGACAGCCCAAAGGTTTCCAAGTGTAAAAAAACGAAAATCCATGTGAGCAGGCTGTAGGTTGCCAACAAGATATCCTCCGGTTTCTGGAATCCAATTTAGAATCCATGAAGGAATCTGATTTGGATAGATGTTGAATTTGTTGATAGCATCCGTGGAGTATTCTTCAGTCTTGTAGCGATATATTTCATTAATTTTCTTCTTGTCCAGCCAATAGTATTCTCTTATATGGAATAATAGTGCACTGAGCCGGTTATTGATGTCTGCAACCATTCTTTTGGTTGAGTCATTCACAATCAGCATCTCACGAGTACAACGCAAAGCTGAGTAAAATAAGGCCTGGATAATATCGCACATACAGTCATAACCATCACCTTAATTTCATCTATGCTGTGGTGGGTCGCATTAAATATAAGTGTCGATTAATTATAAGAAAAAAGTAAACTCTATAGATTTGAGCACAAAATCACTGGGATTCTTTACACTAGGTTCCCTTTTGTTGCAAGAATAACGGGTGCAAGTCTAAAAACCATCATTATCATAGGTTTTCTGTTCCAATTACATGGATGATATCATAAGGTGACCATAACATGATGGATATGTTAAAACCAACACGCACAACTTTAGAATCCCAAAACAGAAAATTAAAGAGAGAACAATGAGTTAAAAACTGAGTTGCAAGGAAAAGCATGTGTTTGGGGAGAGTTTCATAAGAATTTGCAGAGTTAAAAAATGCAAGCATGCTCCTTTCAAAAAATTTCTCTGCACTATATGTTAACAAGCTTTCCATCATTTGCGATGGAGCCAAAGACTCACTATTTTTTGGCTTAAGAATATGATGGAGTAAAGAAAAATGACTCACTAAAATGTCTGCGCTTCTTTGTTATGAAGCAGCAGTCAGTCTATGCAATTTCGACGCGATTTTCATTATGGGTCATCCGGAAACAGTCTCTCTGTACTATAGTACAGGGGTAAGGCTGCGTACATCCAACCCCCCCCCCCCCCTTACCCCATGGTAGGTGGGAGCCTTTGCGGCACTGGGGTAATGATGAAGAACTATATGTTAACGAGACCTAGGGTTGAACGAACAATCAGACTCAATGTTTAGTGTGGTTTGACCAAAGTACCTTATGGTTCAGTTGAGCACTTGAGTGGCTCCAACTCAATCCTAAATTCTATCTCACAAAAAGGAGCATGATAACAATGACACTGATAAGTGAAAGAAAAAACGCAACTGAGAAATTGACAAGGCTGATGTAGTATATTAATAAGCAATCTTATGTGCACTTGAATCATATGAAGCGGTGAATTAGGTCAGGGAGACTAATAAGCAATCTTATGTGCACTAGTCTTTCTAGAAAGAACGGGAAAAAAATCAGATCAAAAAATGAATGAAAATGCTCCCACCACACCTATTAGTCAATTGTTTGTGCTTTTGGCTAGCTATCCCCATCATGAAGAAATTATCTATGCAATGTGCTTAAGACAAAAACAGCTTCTGGTAATGGACAAAAATATTTTGAAGCGTACTCTCAGTTACCTGAATTTCAAGTGGATGACCATGAATCCCCATCCTTCTATCAACCATGCAAGAACCATCAGTGACCAAGAGTGTAGGAAACATGTTGAAACCATCCCGTAAGCAGAGATTAAGCATCAATTTAATCCCTGTCTGTACATCAACCCTCTCTTGAAGGGAATAATCACCTGTAATCTTTACATAAGCTCGAAGCAATATAATCCACCATAAGCCTGCTCATTTCATGTAAAATAAAAATGAGGAGACTAATTAATAAAGAACTTGAATTATGATTGCAGAAGTAACATGAACCATGCAATACTATGTATTCCAGAAGAAGTGATGTTGGAATTAAGATAATGACACACATGTTTCCTCCATACCACAAATAGTTGCCATATTTGACTAGGTTGGTCAAAGACGTCAAACTTTGACTAATATTATATTTTTAGACCAAATGATTTATAATATGAAAGTACAACAACAACAACAACCAAGCCTTAGTCCCAAAAGATTTTTAATATGAAAGTAAATTAGTAATATAAAAAAATTGCTAAAAATACTCCCATGAAAGTAAAAAATCTATGAGTAATTCTCACTAAAATATGTTGATTAAAGACATTGGTCAAAGTTTAATATTTTTTTACCATAAAAGTCACATATGGAAAATCTTTGTGGGATGGAAGCAATATGAAATTGCAGCCTGACCAGAGTCAACAGGAGCAACTCTCCCAATAGCACATTCTCCAAAATCTGGGTCCAGACCATCCACGAATTCACTATCTTTTCCAACAACGGGTGTGGATCTCACTTTAAAACTTGCAGGCATTAACCCACGTCCCGGGCTATAGAAATCAACAGTTTTTTCCCAACTCTATAAAGCAAGAAGATAATCAAATTAAGACATTTTAAACTGCAGAAGCCAACATAAGAGCTTACCGTCATTTAACATCGATAAAGCAGCTCTCTAATCCCTCACTGTTCTGGTTGGTTATGGTGAAATAAACTTCAAGGGAGGAAACAATAATAGTTCTTATAGAGTAACTATGGAAAAAAGAACGTTTTTTCCTTAGAGTACTGTGCATTCTAATCAATTTATTATAAGTCATGATTTGGTAGGCTCTTGTTAAAAAGAAATCTACAGAAGACAAATAAGTTGAGAGTCTGAAAGGCGTGTAATAGTCATTTCCAGTTTCATTACCTACCCAAGTTTGAAAACTGCAAACTAGCTTACAATCTGTTAAACACCAAATTGATCCCTAACTCACTATAAATAACTAAGTCTATTACCTAATACCTATGAGCAGAGAGAGAGAGAGAGAGAGAGAGAGAGAAATTAAAATGTTCCACATGGACCACATCAGATGTTATATATATCAAATATATATGTGAGGTGAATTTCACTTCTTCAGGATCCTTTTTTGGTGAGTTAGGCAAAAGTTAATATGGAATGGTCCGGTTGTGTTTTTATTTATTTGCTACTCGGGGCCTGGGTAGATTGTTTACCTCAATCTTTTTGGGGCGAACTAGGCCTAATTTAATAAAATACATGAAGCAAATGAATTGAGAAACAAAATCACATACTCCCTCTGTCCCAAAATGATTTGCAAAGGCAAGTTTTCTTGGTCAACATAGTTTCATTTTTCTAACTTATTTAGCATATCATCTTTTAATTATATTGTACTTTGGATTTTGCAACTTTTAAGAATTTCCAATATAGTTCCCGAATATATAAATTTTAAATATTTAAACTATTTTAATTATTTGCGGGGATGATTTGACTTTATCTTCAGTAAATTTTAAGAACTGTATATTGCAAATCAATTCGGGAGAGAAGTATTAGAAAACTAGCTGAACAAAATACAACTTCTTACCTGCAGCTGTAGGGTATGGAGCAGGAAATTCTTAACAATATTCCCTTCTCCATTAAGCAAGAAAGCAAGAGCTGAAGGTACGAAATCACGAATGAAAACTTGGCCATAGTTCAGCTGTGGCAGCTTGCCTGCTGGATCATTTGCTGCAACAGTTCCCACAGGATACCCACAATAGTTTACAACAGCACCCCTGAGCAGCTTCCACGCTTCTTGTTCTACCTCACTCACGCTTTCATGGGTCAATTTTAAAAATCTTGACTCATTCATATCATTATTATTTACAGTTGACTCATCATCATTTATCCCTACATTCTTCCCATCTAACTTGAGCTTCCACAGAAGAAGTCAAATGACTCCTCATATCGGAGGCAACCATAGGAACAACAGGTAAAGATATATTTCTCCTACCTAACCAAATACCAGAAAAAAACCCGGGTTGATCCACATTTGAATCGGATCCACAAAAAGCACACCGATTCAAATAGATCAATCTTGTTAACGTGTCTGCCCTGTGGTTGCACTTATCCATTGTATGCAATTTCCCTAACTTTGGCTGTGGTTTTGAAAAACTAACCACAACCTGGCGATTGCATCTCTCAAATGGGTACCCTAAGATTGAACTACTGTAGCTGACCAATTTCCTAGAACTTGGCTCCATACCTGAAATCCCACTACAGCAACTCCAGGCAACCATTTTTCTTAAAATTCTAATACTATTACCAGCTAACGAAAGATCAATTCTTAGGAGTAAACGATGTAAGAGATCTGTACAAAGCTATTATGTATGTTTCCAGGCAAATCTAGCTTTCTGTTAGTTTTGAAAACTCAATTAACAAATAATTTTGATAGAAATTTATATGTACAGACCGCTTGTTGAGGTATATGTATATACGATACGAATTGTGAAATAGATTTGGTCAAATGTGAAAAAAGAAAAGTAGAACTAAACTCACACATGAAAATGAGAGAGGCGTGCGTCTGAAGAAGAACAAGAAAACTGCGTAAGCGCAATTTAGCCAATTACGCATGCATGTCTTTTGAGTTTTGACCATAAAGTTTGATTAATCATCATTCACTTCATTGCATATTTAGGACTAAAATGGGACCAATGTATATACTTCCCTATCTCATTATAATTGTCCTGTTTTTTCTTTTTTGCCCGTCCAAAGTCGTCTAATGAATTTGGATGCCCGATTCCAAATGTAAAATTGAGTCTCCACCTTAATATAAAAAAATAAAAAAAAATCTCAACATAAATACTTATACTCAAATCAAATGAATACTCATTAAACAATGTGATAAAAAATTCTAAAAGTTACATAATACTTGATTTAAAGCAACAAAACTCATTAATTATTCAATCATTTTTTGTAAAAGGACCGATGAAAAATGATGTTATTGTATTTTTCTTCCTTACTAACCGTATTTTATTGATTAGTATTAATATATAATATTATTATATAATACTAATAATTTTTTAAAACTTGGGGGCCCATAAATCAGGAGGTCCTTTTCTGTAGAACCTTTTGAACATGCTAAAAGACGGCTCTACGTCCATCCCACTAAAATTGTCATATATCATATTTGGTAATATTTACGTGTCTCAAATTTATTCTCACTTTATTAACTTATTATCAACCACATAATTCCACTTTTCTTTAAAACCACATCACTCTCTTCCGTCTGAGTTCGTATACCATGGTATCACCCCACGGTGAGCACCGTGCTCCCACACCCAAAACAACGTAGTTTCGCGCAATTTTTTTTATATAAAAAATCGTGTGAACAGTAACGCGTGAACAGTAACTGTTTTTTTTTTGTCTCAGTAACATGAATGATGTAACTCGCATATAAATTAATGTAACTTACGTTATTGATCGATGTAACTCAAGTCCAGTCGAAATGTAACTTGTCAAATACATAGTATAAGAAATAAAAACATTGATTTCAATGTTAACAATAAAAAAAAGAGTCTAATTGCTAGATTATTTTACATAAATAGTGAATATGTTTTGTTTTTAATATCAGAGACATAAAGATTATTTGGAAAAAAAACTTTTTTTGTTGTTTCAGTAGCAGAGGTTATTTGTGATGTAACTCGTGTTAGGCTAAATGTAACTTGTGTTGATAGAAAATGTAACTTGCTGATGCAAGTCCAAATGCAACTTGCGTATAAGAAAAATGTAACTTCACTTACATTGATGTAACTCGCACATAAAATGATGTAACTCACATGTAAAAAGATGTAAATCATGTAACTTGAATCTAAGGCAAAATGTAAATGGCCTGATGTAAATGAATCTAAGGCGATCAATGATAGTTTGAACCATTTAATTTCTTCATCATTTAAACAATTAAGAAAAATCTTTTAATAGCTTCCACACACTCCAAAACGTCTTACTGTTTCAACAAGTGGGCGAGCTCATCAGCCAACAGTCGGCCCATACCTGCAAAATTGCAGCTTACGAGACCAAATTATGTCTCTTGCTTTATGAACGACAGCAAAGCTCCTACAGTCCGGGTAGAATTTGTCGATTCATGTCGGCAAAAGATATTGGAGGTGGCGGAGAGCTTTCAAGAAATCGACGACTTACACGAGGAAAGATGATGACCGGAAGTTTTTAATAGAGTATAAAACTGCACCGTTTTGGGATCGGCACACCATGAGCATGGTGGGCCGATCCCACGGTATAATTTGCGCTTCCGTCTCAATATTAGGACGACGGAGGTAGTAAGACTTCAAATAACCTACTTGTACATCTATAATTGAAAATTAAAATTTAAATCTTTTTGAACCCTAAATGTGAACCGCAACATGAAGCAGCACTACCAGCACCACCGCCACGCTACCAATGTCGTTGCCATTGTTGCCGCCGCCGCCATCTATGTATCTCAACAATACATTTATGATAGTATTTTTAACATTTTTCATATCATTCTTATATTTTACATATTTACGTACATGAATTTATAGTAATTGTCCTAAGTAGGACTAAAAACATAATGAAATTCATTAATAGGACCTTAAGGTTAATATCCCTTAAATAGGACTATATTAGAAACAAATTGACTTCTCCGGATCTCCCCTGCAACTTCTCTTCATGCATCGCAGCCACCGCCGACTCTTCAGCCTCAGGCTGTTGCTGTCACTATTGACTTCACCATGCCCCCCCTCCTCCTACTAAATCTGCCAACGTAATAGTCAATGTATGGCATCAAAGTTGTGATGATGGGGGCGGTGCTCGGAGGTGGAGTGGTGGTGCACCAGAGATGACGGAGGAAGGTGACGGCGACAAATTGCAGCACTGGTTGGGAGACACCACTCGGCGGCGATGGATGGTGGCACTGGAGAGTAGGCGGTGTATATGGGGTGTCGATGGGGATGCAGCGGCTGACTATTCTGGCGAGGGCGGCAGCAGGCGCCGCCGGTGATGGAGGCGGCGGCAGGCGAAAGGGGACGGCATGGGGTGGCGAGGGAGGCAGTCCTACTTCTAGCATTGAAGTTTTTAGGGTTCGAGCAATATTTATTTTACATTTTAATTATAAATTGAAATAAAATTTCATCAAGGGATTTTTTGTACAAATAGGTGATTTGAAGTCCTATGAAACATAATTTCACATAAAAGTCCTATTTGAGCAATTATCTTTTATTCTAGTCTTATCTAGGGAATTAACTCATGAATTTATCATCGGTCAAAATCTAGCATCTTTGACTGGAAAAGTGAAAGATGACTAATTAAAATGAGACGAAGGTAATACTATTTATAAAGAGTCTATGGAGCAGTAGCCCTTATTAGTGTATACAAAGTATATAAAAGGGAAAAGTATGAAAACAGTACTTGTGGTTAGATCCGTTTTCAAATTGGGGCATGTGTTTCATCTTTTAAAAAAGGAGGACATGTGTTCAATTCCGTTATCGCTCGAGGGGCATGAAGGTGATGAACAGTAACTCCGATTTTCAAAAGTGCCCGAAAAATTTAAAAAAAAAATATTGGGAGGTGGACCTCTTCATGGAGACTTACAAACTGTTTTCCTCTTTGGATTTTTCGGCTCTATTGAATTATTATTTAAAAACGAATTCGCTAATATCACTTTTCTGGTGAACTTTCTG